TAAGGACTTTATTAGTATTTTATTACTAAATTATTTAAAATAATTGCTCCTTAGCATACACAATAGTTGAAACTAGCCGGGCTCGGTGGCTAACACCTATAATCCTAGCACTCTGGGAGGCCGAGGAGAGACACTTGCTTAAGGTCAGGAGTTCAAGACCAGCCTGAGCAAGAAGCAAGATCCTGTCTCTACTAAAAACAGAAAAAATTAGCCAGGCGTGGTGGCACACACCTGTAGTCCCAGCTACTCGGGAGGCTGAGGCAGGAAGATGGCTTGAGCCCAGGAGTTTGAGGTTGCTGTGAGCTAGGCTGACACCACAGCACTCTAGCCAGGGTGACAGAGCAAGACTCTGTCACAACAAACAAACAAAAAAACCTGAAACCACCATTTCTCTAAAAAAGCTATACCTGGGCTCCATGAGAGGTCTGGGTACACCCAGACTGCACACTGTTTACATCAACCCAGGAGATGGTACACATAGTAATGGCTGTGGAGAGACCGTACTATGTGTGAGGCACCACCCTGGGCACAGAAGTGCCAAAACACAGGACAGGAAGTGACAATAACGAGACATACCTATAGGCCTACTCACATGAGAAACACTACTAAGGAAAAGCAAACAATTTTCTCAAACTGGGGCTGACCTAACCAAACACAATTTATAACATGGCCATGACACTGGGCTAGCTCTCTGAAGAGAAATCAGTTAGTGCTCATTTTCAATGAGTTCCAACTTGGTCCTTTTGGGTTTCTGGAAGACGCACCTTCTCCTTCTTCATTGTCTGTGTCCTCACCACCATTCTTATCTTCACTATCAAGGTTCAAATCATCTGGAAGGTCCAAGGCCTCAGGTTCTGGCAGCTTTTCCTGATTGCCATGGTAAGGGTCCACCTCATTCTCATCATATTCACTCTGGAGCAATAGAGAGAACAGGGGAAAAAATAAACTTCTTTTTTAAAAGCAGAATTCACATAGCTCTAAGTATTTATACTATGCTGAGAGAATACAATGTCTCTTCCCTAAAGTTACAAGTACCCATTAGTATTTTAGCAATATTTTTAGACCTTTCATGTTGGAATTTCAAACTTCATTTTCTGTACAGGTTCTTAATGTCAAAGAAACTTATGAGATGCTTATGAGAATAAAGAAAAGTACCACAGGTTTTAGCTTCCAAACTACAGCATGAGCCCAAACAACATACAGACCACCTCATTAGTAACAAAGAGTTAGATATTTTATGTCCTGTTAAGAGCCTCTGTTGCACTTTATGAGGCAATGGGAGAGCAATCAGTGAATAGGGTGAAAATGCCCTGAGACACCCTAGGAACTATGCAGTGCAGTGGCCCTGGCCTAGAGTCAGGAGAGCCGATCAGTTTCAAATCCTCATTACCTCATCTATTTGTTCATTAATTTTGTCTGGGCCTTGTCCACCATCATCAGCTTCTGCTTCTTCCTTTTGTTCCTTCTTATCTTGCTGGTTTTTATCTTTATTCGAATTCCTAGCATCCAAGTTGTCATCTTTAGCAACAAGTTCAGAATCTTCCTGAACATCAGAGGAATAAAAAACACAAAGTCGTCACACTCAATCCAAGAAACTGCTTCCACATGGGCTGACTCTAGCTAATGAAGCTCCTAGACATAATTTCTGCCTATTGGGCCTATCCCATGGAAGTATCTGCCACCATGACCCGGAGAGAACAGTCCCAGTCTCCCAGACAGCAGCAGTAACAGCAGGTGCATGAACGGTGGCGGGGGTCTGATAATTACATTCATCACACTGTGTTGCTTCAGTGTTACACTCAGCCCTGGTGCTCTCCTAAGATGGGAGCTGGAGAAATTCAGTGGCCAACAGGAAAATCAGCATAGAGAACCTACACTGAGTCTTCTTAACCTCCTTCCTACTCTTTTATAGCTCTGAATACAATCAATGAGGTAGGATAGAAAAAAGAAAAAAGAGGAATGGAAGAAAAAGAAGAAGAAAAAGATGGAAAAAGAGGATCAGTAAATGACAGGGAGTGGTAGATGAAGGGAAGATTACCTCTTCTTAGCTTGGGGACTTTGCGATGGGGGGAATCTTTTAATTACCTCATCCATTCCTGGTCCTGTTTCTTCAGTTTTACTGTCTTCTTCCTCCTCATCTTCCTCCTCGTCATCACCCCAAAGCCTCTCATCTAGTTTGTCAGCTTCCTCACCATTGAGATCGCCCATCTGTTTATCCAGGTCTCCGCCCTCACTATCTGATTTCTCATCATCCTGTTCTGAAAGGGAAGGCACTGAGCTTAGTTAGGCAGATCTGCAAACTGACCCAGTCCTGTGTGTGCAAGAGAGGCATGGACCCACTTCCCCAGCAAGGGCCCACTTGGGATTTCCCCCCAGTTTCTACAGACCACCCTGTGAGCCGATGCCTTTAGATCTAATGAAGTATTCCTGTGTTTTGCAGATTGTCTGGAGGAAGAAGGAAGTCTATAATGTGTAAACAGATAGTAAGAAGACAGTAAAATAGCTGTCAGGATGTCTGGTTCTGGTGCTGGGGGAAATACCTATATATGGGACTCAGCAACCTCCCTGGGCTTTAGTTTCATATCTGTGAAATAATGGGGTTGGACTAGGTGATCTCCAAGGGTCCTCCCCCATCTCCAATGTACTGACTTCTTTGATTTGATCCAACACGGAAAATCAGGTCTAGATCAATTAATCAGAATTTTCTTACCTTTGTCTTTACTGAGGTTTACTTTGCTAAAGGTATAAGCAAGTGTACATTCTTTTCTAAGGTCAGCTTTCATGTCTGCAAGATCTTCACTGAGAATAAGACACTGTATCTCAAATTAAACTTTGGACAGAAATGTAGGGCGAAGCTGAATTATGGTACAAACATGATAGATGATGATGTGCTGTGAGAAATTATATCCTTAATTTTTAATGACAAAGGGAATGTTCGTAAGATGTTTAATGAAAAAAGCAGACTGTAGAACTATACATGGTCTCTGTATGAATATATATGCAATAAATAGAAAGAACTATACCAAAATTTATGAAGTGGTTTGGGTGGTGGGCCTAAGGGGGATCTATTTCTTTCCTACATTCTTATTCCAAATAATCTAAAACAAACATCTACTGTTTTTATAATTAGGGAAAAAAGTTATTTCAAAAAAATGACCCAAAACAATTTGCTCTTCGTTGAGAACCTAGTTCTGACAGAGATCATCACTGTTCTTTAAGCCTTCCCCCAAGGGCACCACTGAGCCCCTGCATCCAGCACATGAGACAGCAAGAACACCGGTCTGTGTCTAGTCAGAGGAGAAGAATTGCTGCAACAGATTATGGACTTCTGCCTTGGTGCAGATGGTGACAGCACACACAGCTGCTGAGGTTTTCATTTGCAGTTAAGCAGAATAACAAACTTGTTTCAAAGGTTACCACAGGCTCCTTATTGGGAACATGTAATTTCCTAGATAAAGCATTTATGTTTTCAAAAACGAACGAAGTGATGATTATAATCTCGAACCTTGTTCTTCAAGCTCCCCATCATGCATTTTCCCATCAAAGTCTTCTGACATCTCGATGGCATTATCTTCTCCCTTAATATCCGATTTTGAGTCAGGATCCTCTTTGTCTTTTTCCTGACCCTTCTGAAATGTGTCTTCCACCTATATCAAAATAGAAAACATGAATCAATGTTGTAACTTCACTAATGTTTACTTCTGCTCTGGAATATAAATGCCAAGGTTAATAGTGTAAAAACATTTCTTTCTAGGGACCAAAAAAAAAAGGAGAACCAATAGTGATAGCCACATGGAATAGTTTGTACAAGTTTGTTTTACATTTCTGGAGTTAATTCCCACTTGATTGCATTTGTAATCAGAGAATATGGAATTTTGTTCAGGTTTTTGAAATTCTTGGAAATTGTATTAAAAAAAATTCCAGAGACATTTAAAAAGAATATACATTCTCTATAGGAAAAAAATTCATCATCAATCTTATTATCTAAATCTTTAGTATCTACTTTTGTCACTATGATCTCTGAAAGACAGTGCCCCACTGTGGATCTAATTTTGCTCATTTTTCCTTAATTTATATATTTCTATATAATCGATGTAATATTTGGGGCAAAAAGATTGTTGTCTCTTTCATCATGGTTGATGTTTGAAAGTCCTTCTTCTAAAATACGAAAGTACTAAAATCTCATTAAAAGAGTTCTAAGCAAACAGCAAGAGCAAGTTTCCCACAGCATTCACATCTTCCAAAACTCCCACAGAAATGACCACCGGTGACATTCTGATACATCTTTGACCTTTATCCATGAATAACCAACATATACTTAGTAATAGATATGTATCAATACCTGCCTCCCAATATCCTTTTAAACAAAAAAAGATCATGCTTTTACACACTGTTATGCCATTACCTTTTCACTTAAAAAACATTCCTTAGCTATATTTCCATGTTGATACATACAAATCCAACTCATTCTATTTAATTACTATTACGGTATTGTTCTGCATAGATGACATAATTTAAGTAATTTCTTTCTGACAAATATTTGGATTGTTTCACAATTTTCACCATTAAAAATAATGCTGCAGGCCGGGCGCGGTGGCTCACTCCTGTAATCCTAGCACTCTGGGAGGCCGAGGCGCGCGCATTGTTTGAGCTCAGGAGTTCGAAACCAGCCTGAGCAAGAGCGAGACCCCGTCTCTACTAAAAAGTAGAAAGAAGTTATCTGGACAACTAAAAATATATAGAAAAAATTAGCCAGGCATGGTGACACATGCCTGTAGTCCCAGCTACTCGGGAGGCTGAGTCAGTAGGATTGCTTGAGCCCAGGAGTTCGAGGTTGCTGTGAGCTAGGCTGACACCACGGCACACACTCTAGCCCGGGCAACAGAGTGAGACTCTGTCTCAAAAAAAATAAATAAATAAAATAATAATGCTGCAGTGATACCTCCCCTACCCCGAGCACCTTGCAGGGTGAGCGGGGCAGCCGGGAGGGGACAC